AAGTAAGAGGCAGCTAAAACTACCTTCCCCCATTCATTTCTCAACACCACACCTCCTCCTGCAATACCTGGATTCTTCTTTGAAGCCCCATCTGTGTTCAACTTAAACACACCAGGTGGAGGGCAAACCCATTGAATTAATTAATTCTAATATCTACAATTGATCGAAGAACAAGTCCATCAACATAGTTTTTCCTATGCCCCCTCCTCCATAAAGATAAAGTCCTTTCACACGGGTGAGCATGAAGATTGCAGCATGAAACGGGACCTCAGCCGCCTACTCCTAAAAATGAGTTAAAGAGCGATCAAAGGATGACAGAAAATAGTGGTCAGGAAAAAGAATTACCTCTCGCCTTTCTTGGAAGTAGCATGCCAATCCAATCGGCAGGCATCAGCTGACTCAACCAGCTGATCATAGAGTCCCTGTAGTTCTCTCAAGGTAGGCACCTGACAATCAGCATATCCTTTACAGGAAAACAAAACTATAATGACACAATAAGTCCTATCTACAATAAGCATCATTTGTTTGATGTATTACAATTGCTATTCTTGCTTTCCAAATCTTGAAGTTGCTTTACAGGCCTTAACCGAAGTTTATNTCGCTAGAAAACAAAACTATAATGACACAATAAGTCCTATCTACAATAAGCATCATTTGCTTGATGAATTACAATTGCTATTCTTGCTTTCCAAATCTTGAAGTTGCTTTACAGGCCTTAACCGAAGTTTATGTCCCTCCATAAATGATACCTCAATAAGTAGCAAATTTACTTAATGTACCAATTCCAACTCGTGCACAGTACACACACTATTTAATACCAGCCATCTAAGAAGCATGATAATGATTTATCAAATACAAGCCAGGAAGACAAATTTCCAATAACAAGGAATTTACCAATCTAGATTGGAAGAAATTCATTAAATTCTTAAAATTCAATATTTTTAGATAACTATATACCTAAACCTATTATTTTCATCAAAATAACCATATGGACTGAAGATAGATGTAAGTAATTATTTGATTACCATACTTGGCAAGCATCACCATCCACGAGCTCACCCGCAACAATTCTAGGTTCATACACCACAAGAGGCCTCTGCTTCGTCCACTTCTGCTCCATTAGTTTCTATTGTTGCATCTGTGGACAAAGCTCTCGAGGTCATACAGGAGTTGTCTACATCTACAAATATCAGCATTGTAGTAGAATTTGTAGAAAGCCATGCGATTTCTCTCAAGCAAAAAATTGTGTCTTTTTCAGTTACCACCATTCAAATGTTGTCTCCTCTATACCTAAATGCTGCTTGAAATTGACGTAGAAAAAGGGAGGAGTTGGAGGAAGAGGAGGAGAAGAAGGAAGAGTTCNTCAAATGTTGTCTCCTCTATACCTAAATGCTGCTTGAAATTGACGTAGAAAAAGGGAGGAGTTGGAGGAGGAGGAGGAGAAGAAGGAAGAGTTGGCAGAGGAAGGAGAAAAAAGAGGAAGAGAAAAAACAAGAGGAAGGAGGGAGGAGAAAGAGAAGGAGGCGAAGGCAAAGGAGAATAAGGAGGACAATGAAAAGGAGGCGGAAAAAAAGGAGGATGAGGGGGAGGAGGAGGAGGAAGAAAAAGTTGTCCCCTCTATGCCTAAATGCTGCTCGAAATTTAAGTAGAAGAAGGGAGGAGTTGGAGGTGGAGAGAGGAGGAAGAAGATGACATTGGAGGAGGAGGGAGTACAAGCAAAAGAGGAAGGAAACGAGGAGGAGGAGGAGGAGCAAAAGGAAGAAAGAAGGAGAAAAAGTGAAGGAGAAGGAGAAGGAGAAGGAGGAGGACAAAAATGAGAACAATAAATAGGAGTAGGAGGAGAAGGAGAAAGAGCAGGAGCTGGAGAGGGAAAAGAGGAGGAAATTTGAGAGGAAGGAGGAAATTAACAGAGTTGGAAGAGGAAGAAGGTGCAGGAGAGGGGAAATAGGAGGAGGAAAATTGGGAGGAATGAGGGAGGAAAAACAAGAGGAAGGAGGGAGGAGGAAGAAAAGGAGAATAACGAGGACAATGAGGAGGAAAAAAGGGAGGAGAAGGTGAAGAAGGAAGAGGAGGAGAAGGAAGAAGTTGTCTTCTCTAAGCCTAAATGCTGCTCTAAATTTACATAAAAGAAGAGAGGAGTTGGAGGAGGAGAAGGAGAAGGAAGGAGAAGAAACTGTCTCCTCTATGTCTAAATGCTGCACAAAATTTATGTAGAAGAAGGGAGGAGGAAGAAGACAACGTTGGAGTAAGAGGAGGATGAGAGAGGAAAAACAAAAGGAAGAAGGAAGACAAGGAGGAGGAAAAGCAAAAAGAAGAAGGGGGAGAAGGAGAAATAAGAAGAAGAAAGAATAAGAAGGATGATGACGACAAAAATGAGAAGAAATTGGAGGAGGAGAAGGAAAAAGGAGAGAGGAGAAGGAGGAGTAGGAGAGGGGAAAGAAGAGGAAAATTGGGAGGGAGGAGAAAATTGATGGAGTTGGAGAAGGGAGAAGAAACAGGAAAGGAGAAAGAGAAGGAAAATTTGGAGGAAGAATGAGGGAGAAAGAGAAGGAGGATTAATAAGAGGAAAAAAGAGAGAGGAGAAAGAGGAGGAGAAGGGGAGTAAGGAGGATAATGCGAAGTAGGAGTAGAAGGAGGAGGACGAGGAGAAGAAGGAAGAAGTTGTCTCCTCTATGCCTAAATGTTGCTTGAAATTTATGTTGAAGGGAGGAATTGGAGGAGGGGGAGAGATAGGTGTGTCCATGGGTCGGACCGGATTAGGTCTGTGAAATTTTTTTCAAGTTGGGTCAAGGTAGTGTAGGGCCAAGCCCTTGCCCATGTGAGTTATCGGCCGGGCTGGGTTAGGCTTCGAGTAAGGGTAGGCTACCCGCAACCTAACCCACGAGCCTATTAAGCGGGCCTGCTCACGGGCTTTTTTATATACAACTTCATTTAAAAATAATGAATATTTTTGTAACTTAATATTTGTGTAAATTATATATTTGAATAAAAAATAGAGTCGAAATGAATAAAAATAAAATAATGAATAATTTTATTTTTTATTAAAAGATGAACTACATCCAATAGAATGAATACATCCCAACTAGGTTGACACCTACTCACTTATCTATCATTTTCATTATTGTACCATTTAAAACTTATATGTTTAATACATGGAAAAGAAAATAATACATTATTTATAATATCTAAATTTTTAAAATTTCAAATTCCGACAATGGGAGCCTTATTCAAAGTTTCAAATTTAATGGTTTAAACGTATAATTTTTTTTCAAACGAAAAGTAGGCGGGCGGGCTCTTGGGCCGAGTTTTAACGGGTTTATTCGGGCGGGCTATTGGGCCGGGTAATGGATTTGGGGGCAAACTCAATCCCTCTTTTTAAGGATATTGAGTTCGGACTTGGGCGGGCTAACTATCGGGCCTATCGAGTTTCAGACCTATTTTTTTTGGGCCAGGTAACGGGACCCGTGGGTAACCTGGTCCATGGACACCCTAAGTTGGGAGGAAAAACAAAAGGAAGAAGGAAAACGTGAAGAAGGTGGAGGAGGAAACACACGAGGAAGGAGGGAGGAGAAAAAGAGGGAGTAAAAGGAAGAGAATGAAGAAAAAAAAGTTGTCTCCTCTATGTCTAAATGCTGATCAAAATTTACGTAGAAGAAGGGAGGAGTTGAAGGAGGGAGGAGGAGGAAGAGGAGGGAGGAAAAGCGAAAGAAAGAAGGAAAACGAGGAGGAAGAGGAAAACGAAAAAGAGGAGAAGGAAGAAGGAGGATGACGAAAATGAGAAGAAGAAATAGGAAGAGTAGGAAAAAGGAGGAGATAAGAGGAGCAGTAGAGGGGAAAGATGAGGAAAATCGGGAGGAAGGAGGAAGAGGAGCAAGAGAGGGGAAAAAGGAGGAAAATTGAGAGGAAGAAGGAAGGAGGAGAAAGAGAAGGAAGAGGATGAAAAAAGGGAGCAGGAAAATGAAAAGGAGTTGTCTCTTCAATGCCTAAATGCTGCTCGAAATTGATGTCGAAGAAAGGAGGAGTTGGAGGAGTAGAAAGAGAAGAAGGATGAGGGAGGAGAAGGAGCAGGAGAGGGGAAAAGAAGGAGGAGGAGTAGGAAGGAGGGAGGAGAAGGAGAAGGAGGAAAAACATGAGGAGGAAAAACATGAAGAAGAAGAAGAAGAAAAAAAGAAGAAAAAGGAGTAGGAAAGTGGAAAGAGGAGGAAAATCGGGAAGAAAAAAGAGGAAATTGATGGAGTTGGAGGAGGAGGAAGAAGAAGAGGAACGAGAAGGGAAAAAGGAGTAGGAAAATAAGGAGAAATATAAGGAGGAAGAGGAGGAGAAGAATAAGGGGAACAATGAGAACGAGAATGAGAAGGTAGAGGAGGAGGTCGAGAAGGAGGAGAAGAAGAAAGACAATGAGAAGGAAATGAAGTAGGAGGAGAATGAAGAAGAAGTTGTCTCCTCCATGCCTAAATGCTGATCAAAATTTATGTCGAAGAAGGGAGGAGTTGGAGGAGGAGGGAGGGGGAGGAAGAGGAAGGAGGAAAAGCAAAAGGAAGAAGGAAAACGAGGAGGAAGAGGAAAAATAAAAGGAAGAAAGGAGGAGAAAGAGAAGGAGGAGGAAAACGAGAAAGAGGAGAAGGAAGAAGGAGGAGGAAGACGAAAATGAGAAGAAATAGGAAGAGGAGAAGGAAAAAGGAGAAAGGAGGAACAGAGGGGAAAGATGAGGAAAATTAGGAGGAAAAAGGAGGAAATTGACGGAGTTGGAGGAAGAAGGAGGAACAAGAGGAGGAACAAGGATCTAAAGAAAATTAATAACACTATAAGTAATTAAATTCAGGAAACAAAATGAACACAAATTACAGAGATTAGAGATTGAAATAATTCCTGTTGTGCACCAATCTTTATCTTCATATAATTTTGCTGATAGAATGCAAAACAAATGATTCAACATAAATGGCATATACTCTTAAAAAATCATACAGGAACAAGGATCGTGAGCACACCTCTTTCCATGGAAGATATTGATTAGCCGACAGATATTTAACTCGGATAAGCAATGCAACCAACTCGTTCACCTCAATATTTGTATGTTGATGAGATATGCTTTTGAATACTTAACATCCATAACTACATTAGGCAGTTGATCCCAACTTATACCACAATTAAGGCAATCTAAATGGGTGCTAAATTTTTCAATACACCGATCAAATACACAACAAAGTTATCTTTTAGATAATTGACGCCACAATAATTTCATACTAACTTTTCAAGAAGAGAGAACAAGAGTTATTATCCGTGCATCTAAGACATATATCATAGTCAACGAATTTAAACAAGAACATATGTTCAAGAACTACTAACGAACAAGTTAGGATGACTTATGAAAAGTGCTTTTAGGACTTACTACTTTTCTCACAAGTACTTTAAAGAAAAAAAGTAACATTTGTTATCCTTATTAAAATTACTTTTAGATAAGTCAAAAGTAACTTCACCTCTTTAAATAAGCCCGTAAGTAGAAGAGAAAAAAAAAAAAAGAAACTTTTTACTTCACTAAAATCACTTCTATGTTAAAAACTTATTATATTTATTGTATATCAAAATACACACTAATATGTATAAACACAAACATGGATACTAATACATCACAAATAACTGGCACACACGAAGATGTCAACACACGCACGCATTAATACATCAAAAAACCACACCCATATACGCACACACTAACTAATATACACCAAAAACCACATGTACACACGAAAACGTACACACAACCCTACTTATACATCAAAAATGACACGCACACACAAACACACTAATGTGCAAAAACACATATTCACTAACACTAATGCACCAAAAATACACATATACTAAAACACCACACACACACATCATGTTAACATACTAACCCACCAAAAAACACGCATGTGCTAATACATAAAAACACGCGCACATACACAGTAATGGACCAAAAATCACATACATATCCCTATACACTAAAATACACGTACTAATTTATCAAAAAAATACACACCATAATACACAAAACACTGGCACGCACACTCAAAGAAACAAAAAACACACATATATACATTAAGAAACTAAAAACAACACATGCGCTAAAACACCATACAAGTATACCCATTAGTATACCATAAAATACACACACAGTGTTAATAAACACTAATACACCAAAATAATCACTAATACACGAAAACACACACGTGCACATACATACACTAATAGACAAGTAAATATACGCATACCCCAATACACCAAAACACAAATACTAATACACCAAAAAAAACACACACTAATAAACCAAACAAAGAACAAACACAACACACTCTTATAACCAAAACACCTTTAGACAAACACTAATACGACAAAAACACACACACACACGTACTAATACACAATAAACACACTAATATATGAACTAATATACACCAAAAACCACACGCACACACATTCACCTACAATAATACACACAAATATATCAAAAATCACATGTACACACTAAAACACACACACAACCCTACTAATACATNAGCCCTATTAATACATCAAAAATGATATGCACACACAAACACACTTATACACCAAAAATACACACATATACTAATACACCACACACACATCATGTTAACACACTAATCCACCAAAAAACACGCACCTGTTACTACATAAAAACACGTGCACATACGCACACACTAATAAACCAAAAATCACATACATATCCTCATATACCAAAATACACATACTAATTTATCAAAAAAAATACACCCAACAAAATACATAAAACACGGGCACGCACACTCTAAGAAACCATAAACACACTTATATACATTAAGAAACCAAAAACCACACACGCTAATACACTATCCAAGTATACCCACTAGTATACCAAAAAATACACACACAATATTAACAAACACTAATACACCAGAATAATCACTAATACATGAAAACACACACATGTGCACATACACACTAATACACACATACCCCAATACACCAAAACACAAATACTAATACACCAAAAACATACATACACTAATAAACCAAACAAAAAACAAACACAACATACTCTTATAACCAAAAACACCTTTAGACAGACACTAATACGACAAACCCACAC